GAAGGAGAAAGGATTGTGGCATGATTATCCCCCATGAAGGGTGCTTTTTCACTTACCTCTCCAACAAGTGAGCATAATCTGCATCCTCTAGCAAATTAAAATTTTTAAAAAGGGACTTGCAACCCAGCTGAGTTAGCACAAGGTATAAGGCACAACTGAGTGAAGCTGCAGCCACGTGACAGGCCCCAGTTTAAACACTGGCGCAATCTAAAGCAGACCAGGTAGTGGCATGTGACTGTTTTTCTAGCTAGCTGGGAGGCTGGGGCAAAAGATCACAGTAGTGAGACTATATCAATAAAGAAGAAGAAGAAAAAAAAAAAGGCCCAGCCACTTTGTACAGCAAAAATGCAGTGCCCTGAAGGACTGGAAGCCAAGAGGCCAACTGTGGGTTTGGATCCCTGGCTGATCTGAAAATACATGGGTCTTGTGCATTTTTGTCCAGGTTCCTGATGAGCTGGTGAACTAAAGAAAAAAGATCATGGTATGATAAGACCCTGTAGAGGATGCTTCTCTCTTTTTTACATGTACATATCACCTGCATGCACACTCTCTACCATAAATTAAGAAAAAAAAAAGGAAAAAATATCTTTCCCTTCTCCTTCCCTTTCCCTCTAATAAAAAAATTACATGTATTTTATTTTATCTTTTTTATAAATGCAGTTCCTAAGAGGCTGTAATAATTTATACTCTTGCTAGCAATGGAAATGCTTTTATACCCAACATCATTAATCTTAAAAACTAGTTGGATGGGACCAGCAGATGGTGTAATGGTTACATTGCTGGATTTGCACATGGTTGACTGCAGTTCAAGTCCTAGACCTGGTGGCTTGAAACTCATGCCAGACACATGTACTTGGGTGCCCAAAATCCCAAGAGGAGAAGGAATTGCAGCATGGCCATCACCCCTGGGGATGGGGGGAGGAGGTGATTTCTGCTTTCTGTCTCTCTGTCTCTCTTTGTCTCTCCAGCAAGTGCACATACCCTATAGCAAAACTTTCTTTCTCTCAAAAAAAAAAAATGTAATAAAAGAAAGAAAAACAAAACTAGGATCAGCGGATGGCATAATGGCTACACTGCTGGATTCCCACATAGTTGACAACAGTTCAAGTCCTGGACCTGGCAGCTTAAAACTCATGCTGGGCACATGTGCATGTGTACCCAAAATCCTTAAAGAAAAATGGAGGAGTAGGGATTGTGGTGTAGCCATCCCATGGGGTGATTTCTCACTTTCTGTCTCTTTGTCTCTATCTCTCCAGTGAGTGCAAGTGCCTTATAGCAAAAATCTCTCTCAAAAAAAAAAAATTAATTGGGACAGGTTGAACTTTTACTGTATGTTTTTCTCATTCCCTACAAACAAAAATAACTATATTCTGATTATATTTACTTTTAGCCTCTGTATTTGATATATATCAAACTGTTAAAAAAAAACTTTCCAAATTAACAAAATAAATATTTTTATTGTCTTTTCCCTTTAAAGAGAAACATTTACAAAGTGAAATATGTCAGCCCCAGATTAGAAAGAGCTGGATAGACCTGGTTTTAAGCGTCTTGTTCTTGTGTAAACACTTAAATGATCCAGAAGATGGCAGTATGGTGTTGTTTTCCAAAATTTTAAAGCAGGGAAAACTGGCAGGAAAATCTGAAAAAGGGTAGATGGTTCCCGTTTCTATTTTCTTTTTCCTTAAACTGATATGACATCATGAAATGCAGCGAGGAGGAGACTTTCTCACACTTATAAGACGGAGGAACTGTGAGGGGGGTGGATGGTAGGAGCACGTGAAGAGCATGGAATTAGCAGCCAGCCTGGCTTCAAATTTCAGCTCACTGGGCAAGTCCTTTAATGTCTGAGTTTACAATTCCTCTTAGGTGAAATCACTGAGCCATGTTCTCCCCACAAGACCACTGTGAAAGCTAAACGTAATCAAGTATTAAATGTAGGCCGCAATATATCCTTCAAACAGAGATTTTGATTTGGTAAATCTGGAATGTGACCTGAGATTTCTGTTTCTATAAAACTCCCAGGTACGTTTTGCCATCCGACGGTCCCTGGTCCTTTTTTTTAATGCTCCCGGGTACATCAATGTCGATTCTGCTGAAGTGAAAACCACACTTTGAGTAGCAAAGCTGTTAATGGAAAGATTGTAAATGTTCCTAACAAATCAGAAGAATCTGAACTTGGAAGGTCCAGAGGTAAGATTCAGGTTTTGTGGGTTGTATGAAAATAAGGAGTATGGAGTGAAATTAGATATACATTCATTTGGTATTACTTAAGGAGCCATGGGACTTCTAATCTGAGATGGTGGGAGAGGAAAATACACACTTAGAAACAAACAAGAAAAAAGTCACAGGGTAGAAACTTCTATGTGGAGAAATCAAGTGGCTACTCTAAATGGAATTGTTAAGGAAATCTGAAAGACAAGAAATATGAAAGCCCAGGGACCAGCAGTTAGCATAATGGCTATGTCGCTGGACTCCCATGTAGTCAACCGTAGTTCGCATCCCAGACCCGGTGGCTTAAAACTCACGCTTGGCGCGTGTGCGTGCGTACCCAAGATCCTGAGAGAACGGAGGAGAAGGGATTGCAGCGTGGCCATCCCCCCTGGGGGGTGATTTCTCGCTTTCTATCTCTCTCTGTCTCTCTCTGTTTGGTGAGCGCACGTGCCCTATAGCAAAAACCTCTCAAAAAAAAAAGAAAGAAAGAAAAGAAAAAGAAAGAAATATGAAAGCCCAGCCTAGAAAATGCAGTTGGTAGCATACCAGACTGCAGTGCTGGGGGCCACATGGCAGACCACAGGTTTGGATTCCCTGCTTGTTAGGCCTGAAACATGGCAGATATGCATACGGGTGTCCAAGGTCCTGATAAACCGAGAACTGGAGGAGGGGAGTCGCACTGTGACAAGACCCTGTCAAGGGGTAAAGCTCTTTCATGAGTTACCACTGTGCTACAGTGGCTGCGCCTTTAATCAGATTTCTTGCATGTGCACTTTCTCACTTCCTACTCACATTTCAACCTTCTTTAATATGGCATTAGTGTTCTTTTCTTTCTTAAATGTACTGACAATGACCACACGATCCAAGAGGGCTAACGTCAGCTCTTACCTCACTGACCTTTCTGAGTTATATGACTCTCTCTCTGTTTGGTGAGCGCACGTGCCCTATAGCAAAAACCTCTCAAAAAAAAAAAGAAAGAAAGAAAAGAAAAAGAAAGAAATATGAAAGCCCAGCCTAGAAAATGCAGTTGGTAGCATACCAGACTGCAGTGCTGGGGGCCACATGGCAGACCACAGGTTTGGATTCCCTGCTTGTTAGGCCTGAAACATGGCAGATATGCATACGGGTGTCCAAGGTCCTGATAAACCGAGAACTGGAGGAGGGGAGTCGCACTGTGACAAGACCCTGTCAAGGGGTAAAGCTCTTTCATGAGTTACCACTGTGCTACAGTGGCTGCGCCTTTAATCAGATTTCTTGCATGTGCACTTTCTCACTTCCTACTCACATTTCAACCTTCTTTAATATGGCATTAGTGTTCTTTTCTTTCTTAAATGTACTGACAATGACCACACGATCCAAGAGGGCTAACGTCAGCTCTTACCTCACTGACCTTTCTGAGTTATATGACACAGTGGCTAATGTTTTGAGATCCTAGGGCGCTAAAGCAATGTTCTGGCACTCACCATACAATACTGATTTCTCTCTTCAGGTGAGATTAGTGAATTATGAATGATTCTGTACTGTCTTTAAACAAAAAAACAATGCTTAATGAGAGCAGATAGGGACCAGCGGTTGGCATAATGGCTATGTCACTGGACTCCCTTGTGGTCGACTGCAGTTCCAGTCCCGGACCTGGTAGTTTATACTCATGCTGGGTTTTGTGAAGGTGTGTGCCCAAGATCCCAAGAGGAGAATGGAAGAGAAGGGATTGCAGCGTGGCCATCCCCCCGGGGAGTGATTTCTCATTTTCTGTCTCTCTGTCTGTCTGTCTGCGGGCGCATGTGCCTTATAGCAAAAACCTCTCAAAAAAAAAAAAAAAAGAGAGAGAGAGAGAGAGAGTGGATGAATATGAACAATGTTCATGGAAACAGATAAAATATGTAATGCGTGCAAAGTTCTTGTAAAAAAAAACAGTAAAATCAAACAAGACTGGCCCTGTGGCCTGGTAATTAAGGGACCCTGATCCCACATGACCAACTGCATGGTTTGAATTCCAGCCAGGCAGGTTGAAAAACCATGCCCAGCACATGTGTGTACATGTCTAAAGCCCAACAGGGTAGACAAATGGAGGACAGAGATTGAAGCATAACCACACGACAGTGGTGATGTTTTCTCCCTCTTCCTCTTTCGTCTCTTTCTAGTGAGTGCACATACCCTCTGGCATTTTTTTTTTTAATCAAAAGAGAACTTACCCTTTCACTCACCCCAAATCAATTTATAAACTTTAGATAGAACCTAATTATTTCAGGGTTGACTCTGTGTCCTACTGATGAAGGGAGACCTATCCCACATAGCCAAACCATGACGTTTAAATCTTGACCCCAGTGGCTTGAGAAACATGTCAGGTACATGTGCCAGCCACATGATGGGTGGTCCCTGTGGTGCCCCGTACTTTCCAATGCCCTTTTGGTGTGTGTTTGATATGTTATGTCATGTATTTGTTCACTTCAGTGCTTCTGGGGAAAAAAACAATTCCATGTAATCCATGCTCTTTTATTTAATTTTAAAAGAATGCTTTTAACTCTCAAAACCAAATTAGAATATAAGAACTGTTGATTAATACAATAAATCAAGCACTACTCATGGAAAAAAAATATAATGTAGTCTTTTGCTAATATTTAAAGTCTTTTACAAACTTAACTAATTAGTTCATTAAATTTCATTTAAATATTTTATGTTTAATATTTGTATTTAATGCTTCCAACTAGCAGAACTTACCAAAATGTTTAGAATAATGTGAATTTTAAAATATAAATTCTATGACCCTCAAGTTCTCTTAAATGTTTCAGTGCTTTTTATAAACTTTATAAACTCATCTTAATCTTTTTGACTTAAAAAAATTACAACTCTAAAATTAAAAACCCGATGATACATCTAAATTGGAATCATGAGGCTAATATATGAGATCCTCTAAGAAGTCAAATTTTCTTAACTATTGCAACTATTTAATACATTAACCATACATAGTGCATACATACATAAACTTAGTGCAAAATAATTCATTTTCTTGGTTGTTATTTATTATTTCTGTCTGTAAGATCAAATCAGTGAGTTTTGTTACTATTACCCAAGAAATGAGTCATTATTATAAACAAGTTGATATAACCATCCCAAATAAACAGGGTTATCTGCTCAGCAGCTGATCAAGTCTTCATGGACAAAAATTCTAGAACGTTTTTACCAACACATCTCTGGAACAGCCAACATCTAGGGTGATTGTTTTTGCAATGCAGAGGGAACCTGAGCCCTATTTCACCATTACTTGGTAATTAGGGATTCCAACCCCATTCTTCTCCAAGTGAGGCTGTCTCACAGACCCCATTCTCTGATTTCAAATAATACATTATCTAATATTCGAGGTTGGAGTCCATTAATTTATTTACCTTTTAATTATTTTCATCTTTTTCCTCTTGGTTAGGGACGACTCACAGATATTTTAATGTTTGGGCCGACATGGGACATGGTGGTTAAAAACACTAGATATTTTAATGTTAGTCAAACAGGCTTTGCTTTTATTTTTGTCTGTGTCTTGCTAATAATAGTAGTCTTTTACCTTCACTACAACTCTTCTTTAGATCTCTATAGGATAGGAACAGCATAGAAAAAGGCTATATTCCATGGGTCTATGGAGTAAGCACTTTAACGCTTCCCTACCCTCTTGGGCCCTGCTCTTGGACAATATGCCTTGACCTGTGAAGGATTGGTCTGGGCTGACTTAGGTTGAGTGGGTCTGGGTTGAGAAGACTTAGACTGACAGGGCTGGGGCTGGCATGGCTTGGGTTGAGTGGGTTTAGACAGAGAAGGTCTAGCTTGGGAAGAATGGGGTTGAGGGGGGTTTGTCTGAGAGGGTTTAGCCTGAGAGGGCACAGGTTGGGAGGGTTTGGGCTTGGGGTGCTTAATATGGAATGGTTTGTGCTGATTGTATTTGAACTGAGAGCAAGGTAAAAGTTTGTTCTCAGACATGGGATGGCAACCTGTTCGGATAGTTGGATTTGAAGGTCCATTGGGTGTCTTGAGCTGGGCTCTTTGCTGAGAGGTAGGTCTTAACGGTTTTTGCATCTTTGCTGGTTGAAAGGATTGAGGGTGAGGATGTTGAATAGGAGATGGTTTTCTCATACATTTTCCAGTTGCTACTGTTGACTCTGTTCTCTGGGTACAGGTTTGTTTAAGCTGTAGCTTCCCTACTGTTCCTGCTGGCTGTGATCTCATAGAATAGAAGTGACCTACCTGGGAGACCACTGTTCCAGAACTTTTAAGAGCTCCCATTGTTTGTGACCTCTCAGAAAAGGCCTGTGCACACTGAGAAATCGGTCTTGGTGGTCTCCCAAATGTTCTATTCACATGATGTCCTCGAGCAATTCTTGGAAATTTTATGAATCTCTCACCCAAATAAAATCTCTGAGGTTGGAAGTAACGAATACCAAAATTTTTACATTGAGTATAGGCCCTTGCATTCTGAAAGGGCAAAGGATGGAACAAATTATACCTCTGCTGTAAGCCAAGGTGGGAGCTCATAACCCAGGGGGCTTTCAAGGAAACATTGTTAGCCCCCACTCTGGTTGGTAAAGACCAGCAGTTTTCCATATGAGGCATGACTACTGGGCTGTGGTATAAATTCTGAAGATTCTGGCTGACTTCACATGTAGCTTCCGACTGTCCTATTGGCATCTGAGCTTGATTTTCAGATGAACTTTTTGGCTGACTATGCCTTTGTTGTTCCTCGCCTTCAGCTATTCCAGCCATCTTTTCTCTAGGGAAAACTTGAATTCCTTGAGCATTCTCGAAGTCTCGGTCTACCTGAATCCCCAACTCCCTGGCCAGAGAGGCCATGTCCTCCACAGACACATATCTGAGTGAAGAGCACATCACTTGCTGGAGGGCAGCATGGAGACCCTCCATATTCTCTCTTGTAGTCTCTGCCTCCTCCCCTTCCCAAAACAGTAGCTGTGATGGCTTTAATTTCAGGATGCTCTGGAAAATCTGAGTCTCTTCACTCTCCCTGGCTTGGGAACTAAAGACAAAATAGCATCTTTCCAGGGCATCTTCTCCTAAAAACATTAGCATGTCCCATTCCTTCTCACCTAGGCAATCAGTAAAAAAAAACACAGCTGAAGAAACTTCCATTAAAAACCCAAACTGTGTCCAAGAGCTTTCTAGATCTCCACGAAGGTTAGTCATAGCAACAGGCTTTTGGAAAATACTAGAATTTTCTTTTAGATTATTGCTATCAGGAAAACACCACGTTATCTCAACCAGGCCATCAGAGATTTGCCGGGGAAGTACCAGAACAGCTGTGTCTTGATGGAGGAAGGTTTTGTGTGATTTCAGTTGGGCAGGCCTGAGTAGTGTGTTGAGGATTCTGGATTTGGAAAAGCTACAGTATCCTAGACGTACAAAAGAGATGATAGGCATCTTCATGAGAGCCAGAAACTGTTCTGTATCCTCTGTAGGCCCTCCTGAGGACTGTGTTGAGTGTTTATACACAATGTCCTTCATTGCCCCCAGCATTAAGATGCTTTTGTTGTTTTCTGCATCTGGCAGTAGCAGGGGAAGAGCAAATTGGCATTGATACATGTCTAGCATGACTTCACATTGCAAAGAGCTGTCAGAACACAGCATGGAGGCACAAAGGACATCAAGGGGATTAATGGTTTGTATGTTTCCAATGTCCAAATTCTCCACTCTGGTCAGCAATTCCCCTTCGCTATCTTCATCCAGCACACCCGGTCTAAGGATTGAATCTCTGGCTGTCACATCCAGTGCTTGAACTTTCATAAGGAAATTCCAGACTAAGTCTCCTGAAGTCTTAGGTGTCCACCCACATTTTCGATCTAAGGAGAATTGTTTAACAAAATCTGGCAGAAGCTTTCTGTTTCTATCCATGTTCAAACACAACATAACATCTTTAAACACCTTTTTTCTTTCTGTAAAAAAGAGGATACTCAGTCAGTGGCATGTTCGGAATCTAAATTTCCTTCACTAACGTTTAAAATTAAATAAGGGAGCTAGCAGTGGCACGGCGGTAATGCAACTATACCCACATGGGATTGGTCCTGGGTTCAGGATCCAGATCTCCCTGAGCATGGAGGGCCTACATTTGTACCCATGATTTAAGTCGGATGAAATTAGAGATGAAACATGATGTAAAAACTGCATTGGGAGTCTCTCTCTCTCTCTCTCTCTCTCTCTCTTTCTCTTTATTTATTATAGAAGAAATAAACTTAAAAGAAATAAACAATTGACATTTTTAATACAAAAAAGTAAGCTATAGAAATAAAGTAAAAGCTTCCTTTTATCACTCTCTTATTTTAAAATAATTATTTTATTTAACTTTATTTATTATTATTACTTTCCAGCCAGAGAGAGAGGGAGAGAGAAAGTGAGAAAGCAAGCCACCAGGTCTGGCTGGGACTTGAACTGTGGTCAGCCATGTGGGAGTATCTAGCGCCTTAACCACCATGCCACCTGCTTGTTCTCTTATCACTCTCTTAAGAGATATACTAATATGAAAGGATATATTTGTATCTTCCTTTTCCCCTAAATGATACAAAAATACATCATTTGGGGGTCAGCAGGTGGCATGGTGGTTAAGGCGTTGAACACTTCACCATGGTCAACCATGGTTCAAGTCCCGGACCAGTGGCTTGCTTTCCCACTTTCTGTCTCTCTCTGTCTGTCTTTCTCTCTTTCTCTCCCCACTTCTCTTGCCAACTTAAAATAAATAATTCTAAAAAAAGACATTGTTTGGTTTAATAGATGATATTTTGTTTTTATAGAAATTATATCATACTAAACAAATTATTCATTAACTGTTTTTCACTTAATGGTATACCTTGCAAATTCTTCCAAGCCACCATATGTAGAAACATACCTCATTCATTTTGGCTATTTCATAATACTCCATGGTTTGGATGGACTGTAACTTATTTAGCCATTGCCTATGAATGCTCATTTAGATTTTCTTTTCTTTTTTTCCCTAACGGTTATCTACAGCAATGAAAATGAAGTTTGTAAATGCTTCATTACATTCAGCACATTTATGAGGAATTCTCTAAGTTGATACTGAATTATTTGTTAAATTTATCTCCTGCTAAAACTTAGAAAGAAAAAAATGACAATTTTTCCACCAATTTTCTCAGAATTTATATGCTAGCCCTAACTTCTCCTGATCTTCCATTTTTAAATACATCTTCTTGCTGCTTCTTGGCAATACATAGTAGAGAAAGATCAGAGTGGATTTAACTTCTGACAGATAGCAAGCTAGTATATGCTTATTAAATATCATTTTTAAAAAGTCCATGTGGGGGCCGGTAGGTAGCATGACGGTTAAGGGTGCTGGACTCCCACATGGCTGACTGCAATTCAAGTTCCCAGACCTGGTGGCTTGCTTCCTCATTTTCTCTCTCTGTCTCTCTCTTTCTCTCTCTCTCTTTCTCTTTCTCACTCTGTCTTTCTCTGGTCAAATTAAAATAAATAAATAAAGTTAAATAAAACCATTCTTTAAAAAAAGAAAAAAAGAGTCTGTAGGCCAGCCAGAAGCATAATGATTAAGTTGGCTGTATCCCACGTGGCCCATTGTGCAGTTCAAATCCAGGGCTCAGCAGCTTGGAAAACAAGCCAGGTGCAGATGCATGCATGCTCAAAATCCCAAGAGGAAAAAGGAAAAGAAGAGATTGCATTGTAGCCATCTTCCCTGTTAGGTGATTTCTTCCACTTTCTCCTCTCTCTCTCTCCTCTCCCTTGGCAAGTACACATGCCTCTAAAGCAAAATTTTAAAAAAAGAGAGATGGGACCAGCAGATGATATAATGGTTACATTGCTGGACTCCCACATTGTCGACTTTGGTTCAAGTCCTGGACTCGGCGACTTAAAATTCACACACAGCATGTGTGCGTGCGTGTCCATTCCCAAGAGAAGAATGAAGAAGGGTTTGCAGAGTGACTATCCCCCCAGAGGGGAGATTTCTTGTTATCTGTCTCTCTGGCGAGTACCCTATAACAAAAAAAAAATACTCTCTAAAAACAAAAATAAATAGAGCTCACACACCTAGAAGAAACAATAGAAGAGGATGACACAGGAAAAATTGCATAGAAACAATATAAAAACATGCAAAAAAAATCATAATATTAGGATGTTACCTATGAAAGAAAGCAAATGAGAATGGGGAATGAAGTAAAAACAGAATAAATCAAAGACTGTTCTGTAGGACAATGATGATACTAAGTAGTGAGTGAATTCAACTCTATACAACAGCTCAAATATAAATATATAAATAAAAATAAAAAAAGAGTTCAGGGGCTGACTCTGTGTCACAAGGGTAATGCATGGCTCAAGAGAATCTGGATCTCGCATGGCGACTGCAGTTGTATTACCCAGCCCTGTCAACTTGAACACGCCAGGCACGCGCTCAACTGTCTGAGATCTGACTGACCGGAGGACTGGAAGGAAACACTCTGTTCTGCTATCTCATTCTCTCTCTCACCCTCATCACACACACCATCTATCACAAATAAGGAAAAAAAATTAATTTATAAAGAATAAGAACCAAAAGCAATCATATATTGGGAAGATATATGGGGGTGGGGTAAGAGGTATGTATTGAGTTATACTCCCCTAAAATGTATACATTGAAATCTTTACCCCTAGTACCTCAGTTGAGTTTCTGAAGCCTCAAATCAATCTTTATTTCACTGGAGGATAAGAATACCTGCTACTTCCAACATAACTCTAAAATAGGGTCACTATATATGTAATTAGTAAGATGAGGTCATTGGGGTGAGCCCTAATCCATTGTAACTGGTCTCCTCATTAAAAATGTTTATCTGGGCACAGAGTCATGCACTCAGGGAGAATGCTATTAAAAGATAAAAGAACCAACTCTGTCAGAACCCTTCAAAACGGAAACAACAAATTTATCTAGTTTGTTGTAAAACCCACCCATTTTGTGATCCTTTGCTACAACAGCACTAGCTAACTAGTATAAGGGGGGATGAGAAAGAGATTATTCTATTTAGAAATGGATTATGAGTCTTCTGAATTTGAACTGCATGTCAGATGGTAGTTCCTTTCTCTACCCAGAATTTGGTGATGTTTATTTTCCTGGACAAAATCTCTCCATATTAAATATTTCTTGAATATCAATTTTTTATTCAGAAATTTACAGATTCATGACACTGATACAATTCCCCTCTTAAAGATGGCAATATGGTGGAGGCTGAATCAAGCCAAGTAATAATATTTTGAGAACTTCACCATTCACCACAAACTCCTCTACTGCTTGCTTCACTTCAGTGATTAAACCCACAATCTCCATACCTCTCTTGTCACACAGGTGTCAAAATGACTAAAGTGATGTAATCTGAGGAATAGGAGGTAATATCTGAAATGAATAGCAACTAGCAACTCCTTGTATGTTTGATGGAAGGTGACCGCAGAAATCTATAAATAGACAATCAATATTTACTTTTGTCGGGACCAGCAGTTAGTATAATGGCTACATCGCTGAACTCCCATGCAGTTGTCCGTGGTTCACGTCCCAGACCTGGCGGCTTAAACTCACGCTGAGGCATGTGTGCGTGCGTGCCCAAGATCCCGAGAGGAGAATGGAGAAGTGATTGTGGCGTGGCCATCCCCCCTGGAGGGTGATTTCTCGCTTTCTGTCTCTCTTTCTGGCAAGTGCACGTGCCCTATAGCAAAAATCCTCTCCAAAAAAAATAGTATCTACTTTTGTCCATATTGTCTACTATTGCCTAGATCCTAAGTCCTCCTCCCTGTCAATATTCACCTCAAAACAAAACAAAACAAAACAAAACAAACAAACAAACAAACAAACAAAAAAACATTCACCTCTGAAGAGATTCCAGCCTAAAGAGCTACAGGGAATTTGTGAGTAGTTGCTTTTCTGTTGATATCTTTGCACTTCCTCCTTCTCTCTTCCCATTAGGAAATAACAACCTTATTAAACTATTGCCTAAAGATACTGCCTAAGGTGTTGCCTAACAAGCTATACACATACAATTTCCATACCTTCCATACTTTTCTCCTCCTCTCCCTCCAATGAGATGCTGGTCTCTGAATCCTCATAACTCTGTTCTTCATCAGAGAACTCGTTGGTTTCTGAATACTCAGCATCCTCCTTGCCATAATATACTCTGTCCTCCTCGCCGTAATATTCTCTGTCCTCCTCGCCGTAATATTCTCTGTCCTCCTCGCCGTAATATACTCTGTCCTCCTTGCCATAATATACTCTATTCTCTGGATCATCATAGTCCTCTTCCACAGTGCCTTGTGTATCTTCAGGGTACCCAGCAGATTCCAGATATTCCTCTTCTCCTAAGTATAAAAAGTCATCTGGTTCATATCCCTGGCCAATTCTTGAATATGTGATAATTTCTGGAACTTCATGTTCGTCTCCCTTAGCCAAACATGGTAATGCGACACTTGGCGTGCCATCTTCCTTCTCATTCTCCCTGGAGCAAAAAGCAGTTTCCTTAGAAGTAGTTTCCTCATCCCAAAAAAACTCAGAGGTTTCCAAACCCAAGTGGTCTTTCTCTTTGAATGACATGGTGATTTCAGGATTCTCAGGCTGTTCCTTTGTAGGAGAAAAAGTCTTGTCTGAATTTTTGCTTACCCCTACAGATTGAGGAAGTGTTATATTTCTGTGTTTTAAAAATTCTGAAAAGAAGAAGAAGGTTTAGGGTTTTGTTTGTTTGTTTTTCAAAATTAATAAAAAGAAATTATATCATCAGTTGAGTTTCTGAGTCCTCGAACATCATCCTTCTTCTTTCACTGGATGGTAAGAATACCTACTGCTGGGGCCAGCAGGCGGTATGGTGGTTAAGGTATTGGACTCCCACATGGCTGACTGCAGTTTGAATCCCAGACTTGTCAGCTTGATTTCTTTCTTTCTCTTTCTCTGTCTCTCTCTGGAGAATGCATGCACCCTATAGCAAAAATCTCTCAAAAAACAAAAATAAGGGGACCAGCAGTTAGCATAATGGCAATGTCACTGGACTCCGACGTAGTCGACCACGGTTCGAGTCCCAGAGCCGGTGGCTTAAAACTCACACCAGGCGCATGTGCGTGTGTGCCCAAGATCTCGAGAGGAGAATGGAGGAGAAAGGATTGCAGTGTGGTCATCCCTGCTTGATCACTAGCTTTCTATCTCTGTCTCTCTCTGGAGAATGCATGCACCCTATAGCAAAAATCTCTCAAAAAACAAAAATAAGGGGACCAGCAGTTAGCATAATGGCAATGTCACTGGACTCCGACGTAGTCGACCACGGTTCGAGTCCCAGAGCCGGTGGCTTAAAACTCACACCAGGCGCATGTGCGTGTGTGCCCAAGATCTCGAGAGGAGAATGGAGGAGAAGGGATTGCGGCATGGCCAACCCCTCTGGTGGGTGATTTCTTGCTTTCTTTCTCTCTGTCTTTCTGGAGAGTGCACACGCCCTATAGCAAAAACCTCTCCAAAATAATAATAATAATAAAGAAAAGAAAATAATGCTTTAAAAAAAGAAAGAAAATTTTCCCCAAAAAAAGAAGAAGAAAATACCTACTATTTCCAACAGAACTTGCTTGACTACAAGCCAATTGTAAGAACTTTCTTTTTCCCCATTGACAAAAATTAGATCACTCTGCTTTCTCTCAAGTTTGAGTCTTTCATACCAACATCACAGGATAAATAGGTGAGACAAAAATTAAGTACTATGAACAGGGTCTTACTGTGGCCCACAATGAACTCATGTTTCCTGTAGCCATTGCCAATGAAATCTGGTCCCAATAATTTCTAATCAGTAAGTAAATAGCTTTAATTTGGACTAGTATGACCTGGAAATAATAAAATCTTTTTTCCGAAGCCTGTGAGTCTTCTCCCACAATAAGGATCATTAACATTCACCAATTTATCTGAGCCTTTACCTCTCCAACATACCATCAAATAATCCTGAATATTTTTCACATTCCTGGAAAAGGAGCTACATCTGCTTTTAGTGATAATTTATAGAATTGCTGCACAAAACAGTCTAGAACTGCTCCCTCAACTGCCCTAGTTATCATTGAACTATTTAAAAATTAGCATTCAAATTACTCCAGAAAGCTGGGATTTTTGCTGGCATTCTCATCACAGAGAAAATGAAACTACTAATTTGCCATCCATGTGTGCTAAAAGTTATTTTTCCTATATTTTCAAAATGGCTAGATGACGCAAAGGATTCAGTTTGTGTTTTGGGGACTGCTAGTATTTGTGAATTCACAAACTTGAGGAAGAAACGTTAGATTGTGTCATTATTAACAGCATTTTCTTCTAATTGTGAGATTTTAGTATGTCACTGTCAAGTATGGTAGCCCTAAAATAACTGCAAGTTTTGGGTACAGCTTAAACAACAAATTACCAGTATCCTAAATCAAAAAGATACATTGTTTTTCCTTATTAAATTCTAAACATTTTCCCCTAATCTCATATTTCAGTGAAAATTATCTTTGAGAAGAAGACAAAACTAAAAGGGAATTGTTTCCTTTTTCTTTCTTTCTTTTTTTAATTTTTTTTTATTTTCAGAAAATCTGCTCCCTCCCTCTTACTCCAAAAAGTATAAAAATTGAACTTACCTTGCCTTAAGCTGCAAATGGTAGCCGACTCTGGAAAAGTACTAAATAAGCACTTGAGAAAATGCTGACAGCTCACCTCTCCCTTTTTATGAATCAAAATTAACAGCTTTCGACTTTTCTTCAGGGGATCTGTAACATTCTCCAGAGTCTCATATTCTTCCTCAGAAATCAGCCTCCTAGAGGTTAATGTATCTAAGAAAGAAAAAATCAGGATCCTGCTGCAGGATTTCAAGCAACTTTTTTCTTTCTCTTTCTACGATCTCTGAGAGAGCACTCTCAGAAGCCATTGTTCCTGCCTCCACTAGAACAGGAAGTGGGTTATGAAAGCATTCTGATAGATAAACACAAGTTGAAAAAAAAAAGAAAGAAAGAAAGAAAGAAAGAGATGACTAAGAGTAATTATATTTGGCAAAGATTTAAAATGTCAGTGACTCCTAGTGTTGAACAGGGTCGATATAGACAAGCACAGTAAAGAATCCAGCCCTAAAACTCTGACCCTGGCTCCTGGTAGTATTTTTTTTTTTTCTTCTGGATCCCTGGAGATAATTGTTATGCTCTTTTAATGGTTTGACTCCATCTCATTATGACTCAAACTCTCTAAGAAATTTCTTTCCACCTTCAGGTTGGACTAGATAGTCTCTGCTTCTGAAATCTATATGGTAATGATAAGAAAGTAAATTGATCAATTGATTTTTGGAGGGCAACACGGTAATGTGTAGCAATAAATGAACAAATAAGTTGAAGACAGATAAAAATAAAACTTTGTACCCTTCATTTTAGCAATTCCACCCCTAGGAAATAATCAGACAAATGCTCACAGAGGTATGTACATAAATTTGCATTTTTTTTTACTGTCGTTTTGTTTTTTGAAAAATTTTTTGCTATAGGGTGCATGTGCTCGATGGAGAGACAGAGACAGAGATAAAAAGCAAGATATCACCCCTGGAGGGATGGCCATGCCGCAGCCTCTTCTCCATGTTCCTCTCAGGAATTGGGGCACATAGGTACACGTGCCTGGTGTCAGTTTCAAGCCTCTAGTCAGCCATATGGGAGTCCAGTCCATTATGCCATCTGCTGGTCCCAAAATTATAACATTGTTTATAATAAATGAAAAATTTTAAATAGTCAAAATTTCCATAAACTGGGAGTTGTGCCACAAGTGTTGATGTATCAGCAGTGAAAACACCAAAGAACTATTAAAAGGCTGAAGTGGGCCAGCTGCAGTGCCACAGCAGTAGCACACCTCTCAGCAATGCTGGACCCGTACAGATCTACGCGGAAGACTGCAGATTCGGTTCCAGGGCTGCCCTGTACACATCAGGCATCAGGCAGTAATACACATGCTCATGATCCCGGCTAGCTGGGAAGGCTGAGGGAAGATCAAGTTGTGAGACTGCCAAGGATGCCTGTCTTTCTCTTT